AAGAGGAGAGATTGAAGAGGACGAAGAGGGTAGTGGAGGTGGTCGTGTTGGTTGCGCAGCGGTTATGGTGGAGGACGAAGAAGGAGAAGGAGAAGGAAGGAGAAGGAAAAGAGAGAGAAACAGAGGGCGGAGGAGAGGATTTCAGAGGGGAAGAGAAGAGGAAAGAGGAAAGAGGAGAGGAGAGAGAAAGAGAAGAGGGGCGGAGAGAGAGAAGAGGAGAGGAGAGTGCGGTTGTTTAGGGTATGACATATGGGATTGTTTTTTTTATTATATAATTAAATTTCGACGGAATATTCCGTCGGAAAGCCCATATATTCCGCGGATTTATATTCCGTCGGAAAATTCCGACGAAATAAAAATTCGTCGGAAAATTTCGACGAAATAAAAATCCGTCGGAATTTCTAATTTTTTCGACGGAAATACGTGTCCGTCGGAAATAGGCCTATTTCTAGTAGTTTTATCTTACTTTGTCTTCTTGCTTTTGTGCAAAAATTTCCTAAGTACTGAGCTTCGGCTCGGAATTGTCTAGCTGAGTGCTTCTTGCCCCCCTTATAAATCAAAAATTGTGATCTTCAGATTTTTGAGGTGCTTGCTTCAACTTTTTTGGTGCAGCCGAGGCTTTGCCTTGGCAAAATTTTTGTAATAATTCAAATTTTGAAGTTTCTGTTCTTTTTCTTTTCTCTTCAACTTTATTTTTGAAGGATCTGATTTCGTTGCTCAGAAGCCTTAGACTCCAAGAGCAATATTCTCCTGATCCTTATAATTCATCCGAGGGAATGACTATCCAAAACACAATGCCAGGGAACTGATTCGTCAGAAGTACATTGCCGCTGGTGGGCGATACTTCGGTGGTGAAATCATTGTTCCTACTTTTTAGGTAATGCTTCAGATTCGTCCTCGGCCTCTTTGCCCGGAGGAACTGATTTGTCCAAAGTACAGTGCCGCTGAGGGGCAATACTTCGGGGGTGAAATCATTTATCCTCGTCTCGACAGTTTTGACGGCTTGCTGAAGTATTATGCCGTTGGAGGGCAATACTTCGGACAGCGCCGAAGGGAAACCTTGAATTTTTCAAAAAACATCGTAGACAGAAAATAGAAACTTGCTTAATTGATAGAAATGGTGGCTCAAAGGCCTTTCATTAATTCAAAGAGATGCACTTACATGGATTGTTCTTCCCCGAAGGGCTTACACATGATATTTCTTAAGTACATCTGCGTTCCAGTGATTTTTCAGCTCTGTTCCATCCAACTGCCGAAGTTAGTATGTTTCAGGCTGAATCTCATCATAGATTTCATAGAAGCCCTCCCAAGTGGTTGAGAGTTTCCCATGAATGCGGCCTTTTTGCATAGTTGCAGCATTCCGAAGGATAAGGTCCCCAATTTTGAGAAGTCTTGCTTGGACTCTTCGGCTGTAGAATCTACTGATTCTTTGCTTGTATGCAGCCATTCTGTCTCGAGCCGAATCTCTGACCTCGTCTAGAAAGTCAAGGGATTCTTTCATGAGTTGCTCGTTTTCTTCGGCTGAGAAGAGATTTACCCGCAAACTTTCTGTGCCAATTTCCACTGGAAGAACGGCCTTGGATCCTACACTAGCTCAAAGGGTGAATGTCACATAGCCTCTTTTTTAGTTGTCCGAAGTGACCAGAAGGTTCCTGGAAGCTCCTCTATCCACTTGGACTTTTGATCTTCAACTCTCTTCCTAAGAGCGTTAAGAATCTGTTTGTTTGCAGCTTTGGCCTGACCATTGCTTTGTGGATGACGACACACTGCTGAATAGGCCAACTTGATGCCGAACTGATCAGTGTACCACATTAGCGGCAAATTATCAAATTGCCTCTCGTGATCGAAGAATAAGACCTTCGGAATTCCGAAGCGAGTGATTACCAGCTGATGAATTTCCTGGCAGTTGCTCTGTGATGTTCGAGGCTGCTTCGACCTCGATCCATTTGCTGAAATAGTCAATGCCGACTATCAGCCATCTTTTCTAGTACGAAAACATCGGGAAATGGCCCCAAGATATCCAACCCCCATTGCGCGAATGGAAGCGGGTTCAAGATCGGTTGAAGATCTCTGGCTAGCTGATGGATAACCGGTGCGAATTTTTGACATTTTTCGCATTTCCTAACCAGCTCTTTAGCATCCAGGATCATGGTACGCCAATAATACCCCGCCCTCAATGCCTTGTGGGCTACAGCCCTTCCCCCGATGTGGTTTCCACAGATGCCGAGGTGGATCTCCCAAAGGATGTAGTCAGCATCTGTTGGTCCCACACACTTTATTAGTGGGGCTGAGAAGGACTTTTTCCGTAGCTCTCCTCTGAAGACGATGAACCTTGAGCTGATTCTCTTTAGTTTGGAGGCCAAGTTTCTGTCTTTGGGAATTTCTCCCCGAAGCTTATAGGCTAGGATGGGGTCCATCCAGCTCGGCTCGTGTGTGACACAACAAACCTCAGGTTCTTGGTCCACACTTCTTTCTCGGCGCATCTCCACATATATAAATCGGTTCAGCTCAGTTAGAGTTGAACTTGCAAGTTTGGAGAGTGCGTCGGCTTTTGCGTTCTGACCCCTTAGGATAAGCTCGACTTCAAGGGTTCTTAACTTCGCAATAACTATTTTTATCTTTGCAAGGTAAGCTATCATTGAGAGCTCTTTGGCCTCATATTCACCTCGGATCTGATTTGCGACGAGCTAAGAGTCTGTCTTTAAACAGACATGCTCGGCTTCAAATGTTATGCATAACTCCAAGCCTGCGATTACTGCTTCATATTCGGCTTCATTATTTGAAGCTATGAATGAGAATTACAGTGCATATTCAAAGGACATGCCTTCGGGCGAGGTTATGACTACCCCTGCCCCCGAACCATTTACGGTGGAGGATCCATCCGTGAAAATAGTCCATACTTTCTTTTCCTCGTCTAGTGTCTTTTGATAAGAACACTCAGCCAGGAAATCCGCCAAGGCCTGAGCCTTGATGGCTGCTCTCGACTGGTAGCTGATGTTGAACTCAGTGAGCTCGAAGGCCCACTTTGCGAGCCTACTAGATTTCTCAACTTTTCTGAGTACTTTTTCTAGCGGCCGATTAGTTAAATCCACAATTTGATGGCAATCAAAATAGGGCCTCAGCTTCCGAGCGGCTACCACTACTGCATATGCAACTTTTTCGAGTAGGAGGTAGCGAATCTCGGCATCCATCAGAGTGTGACTGACGAAGTAGATCGGCTGCTGAACTTTTTCTTCTTCCCTCAGCAAAATCGCGGAACTTTTTCGAGTAGAGGGTAGCAAGTTTTAGCGCCTTGAAGAAGGGTAACCCTTTGTCCGAGGCTCTAGAGATGAAGCTAGACAAGGTAGCCATTCTCCCGGTAACGCGCTGACGTCCCTCTTTGTTCTTGGTTTGGGAAGATCAAGTGCTGCTTGCACTTTGGCGAGATTGGCATCAATCCCCCTTTTGCTGACCATGAAGCCGAGGAACTTGCCTAACTTCACGCCGAAGACACACTTCTTCGGATTCAGCTTCATTTGATGCTTTTTGAGGGTGGTGAAGGTTTCGGCCAGGTCCGTGACATGGTCTTTGTCCTTTTTGCTTTTTGATGATCGAATCGTCTTCCATGTTACGGCCTTTATGCTCGGCGAAGACTTGATCAACCAGCCTTTAATATGTTGCCCCCATTTTTAAATCCGAAGGGCATCATTTTATAATTATACACCCCGGCGCTTGTAATGAAGGTCGTTTTTGCTCGGTCGTCGAGATGCATGAAGATCTGATGATACCCCAAGAATGCGTCCATGAAGCTAAGCAGGGTATGCCCACTTGTTGAGTCGACTAACTGATCGATCCTCGACAAGGGATAAAAGTCCTTTAGTTAAGCCCTATTTAGGTCCGTGAATTCAACGCACATTCTCTAGGTGTCATTTGCCTTCTGAACCATCACCACATCGGCCAACCATTTTGGGTATGGACAGGGTTCGATGAAACCCGCATCCAGGAGTTTTTTTACTGCGACTGCGATGTCTTAGTTCTGTGAGCTATGCTTTCGTCCACTAAAGAAGGAGGTGATCATACCGGTTGATGCGTATTAGAAAGTGTTGTTTAAGTTTTGGAGTGATGAAGTTGACGTCAATCAGGAGATTATACAAATGAAGCATGAGAATAGGAATGTTCTCCCATGTCAGACAACCCGTGATGTCGGTATTAGGAATGGCCACGAGGTGTTTTGCTTAACAAACATCTAGTGAAGTCGTCGAAGGGGGAGTTGTTTTTGTCCTTGTCATTGACTTGTAATGTTATTTGTTAAGTTGACAAGTGAAGTCACTAATTAAATCAATCTTAAATCTGCCATTAGTTTGATACTCTTGAAGGCCATTTGTGTCATATTCTAGAAGGCCATTTGAGTCAATTTAGTAGGTGCTTCTACCCGTCTTTTTTAGGACTTCTTTCAAAGTCCCAGGTGATCTGGGCAACAATATCAACCTCTTCCTGTAATATATTTGGTTGAATAATGAAATGGTCAGTTGATGTGATTGTTAGTAATTTTTAAGTGTTAATTACTATTATTGTTATTGTGTGGATTACTTAATTGTATATTAATTCTCGTAGTTGTGTAAAATGAATTAGATTAGTCCCTTATATACATTCACATTGTTTATGCTGAAATATAATGGAATTAGATCAGTCCCTTAAATGGAATTGGATGGAATTGAATCAGTCCCTTAAGGATAACATGTTCAATGAAATGTTTCCTAGGCCTAATTTTATTTGAAAGGTCCATGATCTAGAATCCACAAATATAGAAACAATATCAAAAGATCATGGAAAACATATTCATGATCCAAAAAAATTGGAAAACATATTCAACGCTGTAGAGCCTGGGCCTGATTTAATTTAAACACTACATGGTCCAATAATCCATATTATTCATAAAAATCAGAAAGACAAAACAATTTCAAAAGGATCAAATGTAAATGGAATGTAAATCACTTAACTTAAACATGCTCATCAGAACATAACTTATCAGAAGATAATCATTACAAGAAAAATGGTTTTCAAGAATTATACAACACTTAATAGTTAAATATCACATAATTCAATGATAATACAACTAAAGTGTTTAGGTATTACTCAAATCCTAACACTAATTGGGTCAATTTTGTTTTGACTTCAAGGTCCGCCCCCTCCTTTCCCTAACCTTGGACTTGGAGAAACCAGCCCCTGCTACCATCTTTGCAACAAGAGAATAACATAATGCTACCATGGAAATCATCACAAGTCTCACAACAATCACAATAGGTTGCATTTGTAACACTTACATTGAAGTCATCCTTGGGTGCAACACTGTCCCGTGCCTCCATTGGGTGATGTTTACCATAAGCAACGTCCAATACCTAGAACAATGTTGTATCAGTGTCATATCAGTTCATAAAGAAATAAACAAATTAAACATATGAAGTTATATTATCCTTACCCCTAACCTCCCATAGTCCCCAGTCAATAATTTCTCCGACTTCGATGCCGTTCTAATCTCCTGCATATTTCATACCTTAAGTCTAGGGAAAACCTCCCATTCAACAGGATCCCTAGCCAAACGGTCCAAGTAAAAAATCTGCATAAATTACCAAAAAAAAAATAAAAAAGGTTGTGTACCAAACATTAAGAGCAAATGAGTTAAATCAAATGATATTGAAATGAATATTCAAAAAGTAAATTGTAATTGACGTACAACGCAAATATAGCACACCCACCATATCCACTCACAAACCCATGAGCATTAAACCGTCGGGCAAATCTAGAAACACTCCCCATGAATTTAGACAACACTAAAGAACATATTCAACTGCCTCCATAGCACAGCTTATGGCAGGTAACAGATCAGCCGCAAGCCGGGGTGACTGTGTAGGGCACAACAATATCTCCAGAGCAATCAAAAAAAGCGTCTTGAATTCTTCTTCCTGTTTAGGATCAAAGTGACCCTCTAAGCAATCCATCATTTCAGAATTCAATGGTATCCCCACCTACGTGTACACACGACCACATTGTCTAGTGGACTCCCATGACTTCCCATACTTCAACAAATTTCTCTGAACCTTTTCACGATCCTCATGACTCATGGTTTTAGTGGAAGGAACACTCTTTGAACCCATTGGAATCCCTAAAACCCAATGTACTTGTTTCTTAGGAAACCTAAACTCACCACCATCTGGGGTTATGAACATTTTACTAATCGGATCTATACGAGTCATCACCTAATACGCCAACTTCCTTGATAATTGCATATCAACTGAAAGATGTAATAGACCACCAAAACACATCTCATACACCCAACGTTTCCTCCTATCATCAAATTTCTGAAAAATCCGCCCAAATGACGTAATCCGGCAACTCATGTTTGGAGGCTGTAATATTAAAATAATGATAAATACACATGCCAACAAAACAATACCTTTCAACTTTCAACACTTGGTAAAATAAAACATTACAAGTCTTACCCTTATGCTACCCTTCGAATGCTCCTTCCAGACCTCTGATCTAGCTTTGACAACTCCCCATAACTTAAACTATCATCCTAATAAAGCAAGTACATAAATCCACAACATTAGCAATACTTTGTAATTAGCACTACTGTGTTCAATATTCATTTGACAAAGACATTACTACCTTAAATATACCAGGGTACAAGGTTATAGTTTTCTCCTTTGCGTTGGATGCTTCATGCAATCCCATAGAACAACATCATAACAAAACCACAGACCATTAATAATCTAACATATAACCAGCCTGTGAGCCAACCTACACAGTTCAAGCAGACCATTAATAATCTAAAATGACAAATGGTGCTCACCACATTTTTCTCACAACATGTTCTTCTACGCTTACACTTTCCTTCAGACATTTACAGTATCCTATACATCATTGCAATGAATTGTATGATTTAATACTAGTACTATTCAACAACAATCGCAAATGAGGATTCCTCAAGATGACCTGATTACACAACAACAGTACCAATTCCAGTAATTATTGGGATTTCAATTAATTATTCGAATTACTATTCCTGAATCCAAGTCAATTGAACATTTATATTGGGGCACAAAGAAACAAACAATCCAAAATTGAACCAAAAATTATATCAACAAACTTAAGGATATATCCATGAATTTATTCCACAAATTCAATTCGATTTCAATTCAATTTCATATTGAAGAAAATGAAAATCGAACAATTCCTAATTTCATTAAATAAATACGGGTACTACAAATAAACCATCAATTAAAATCTAAAATACTTGTTCGAAAAAAAGAATTACCTTCGTCACTTGTTCAAAAAAAGGAATTTCCTTCGTCACAGTCGTGGATTCCACCGTCGTCGTCGAACAACCAGCCGGCAACTCGAACAGTCAGCAATTCCAACTCGAACAGCAGCTCAGTTCAAACCTAAATTCTTTTGTTTTAATTCCTTTTTTAAATTCCCTCTTCTACCAATATTCAGACAAAAGGAGAGTAATTCCATAAAAGTGGAATTTAACTCCGTCAAATAATTTGTTTAACCCAAGTGTTACAGGTGGCCATGAAGTATTACACGTCAGAATCCATGTAATGTGTAAAACTGGGTAAAATGATGAGATTGCCCCTATGAGAAACGAAAACTGGTTAATCATTATGAGAAACGAGGAATTCGCCAAAATAAATTGATATAAAATATAATAAATAGACTACGTATTAAAAAGTGTGAAATTTATGTGAACGAAAATAATTAAATATCTTACAGTTATAATACGCAATTTGCCAATTTAATATTTAAAGAAGTTTATTTTAGATTTTGTACAAAGTAAAAGTCGTAATTTTGATACAAATCTTGTTTTTATGTAAAAATAAGTTTTTTTTTTTTGGGTTTTTCTACATTATGACCCTATTTTTTCGCTTTTTCTACGTTGTGACATGCCTTTTTTGATTTTCTACGCTGTAACCCCTAAATTATCAAACGTTTCTACGTTGTGACCCTGCCGTTAAGTTGACGTTAGTGTCTTCCGTTAAGTCAAATTAATGTGCCACTTGTCAAAACGTTATGGGTGACATTTGTTTTAATTTTTTTTTAAAAAAGTTAAATAAAATCCTTGTTAAAACCTTACTAACACAGTTAACTAATCTAACCACTTTACAATCAATAAATAATAAATCGAAATAATAATAAATAATAATAATATTATCATTATTATTATTATTTATTAAGAAAATGAAAAGAAAAAAAAAAACATTCCTAAACCACACCAGCCACCAGCCACCAACGGTGGCCTTCTCCCTTGATTACCCCAGAACCAACCAACCACCAGCCATCTATTTTCGCCGCCAAACCACCTCTAACACCGGAAATCGGCTCCCCCACCCTAAACCCACCTCGAAAACCGCCATCACCCTTCACAAATCCGCCAAAGTACCGTTTCCCTCCCCAACGCAACCCCCTTAAATGGACCTCCTCCCTTCCCACACCGCCGAAACCGGCGCCCCCTCCCTCCCCACACCACTGAAACCGGCCCCCCTCCTTTCCCTCAACCCTTCCCCTGCCCGCAAAACCCTTAGCCACCCCACACGATGCGGCCTTGCCCATGAAACCCCATCCAATTCGGCGATCCAGCCTCCACTCATGCCAGCGACCAGTAATAGCAGCATCGGGCGCGCAAACCTGGGTATAATTCGAACCGAATCACGAGCTTCGCACGTGATTATTAAAGAGAGAGAATTAGAAGGTTGTGCTATTTGGTGCGGTGGTGGCGATTTGGTGCGATTGGTGGCGATTTGGTGTGTGTGGGTTCGCTTGGTGGTGGTGAGTTGTGGTGGCAGCAACAGCGGAGGAAGGTGAGACTTCGTTGGTGGTGATGGTGGTAAGGAGCGGCGGCAGGGGGTGTTGAACTCACTGAGTCAGTCCCCGAGTCCATCTCCATTGTTGAAGCTTGAAGAGGAAGAAGAAGAAAGGAGGGAGGCAGCCTAACAGCCTAACATCGTTAGGGTTAATTTGACTTAACGGAAGACACTAACGTCAACTTAACGGCAGGGTCACAACGTAGAAACGTTTGGTAATTTAGGGTTACAGCGTAGAAAATCAAAAAAGACATGTCACAACGTAGAAAAAGCGAAAAAACAGGGTCATAATGTAGAAAAACCCTTTTTTTTTTAAGGTAAGTACTTTTGGAGGAAAAACTTTTTATATTATGTTGCCAAGTGTTTCAATAAACTTCGCCTTTAGTATAATGTAATTGATACTTAATCTTTCTTTGGGACTTTGCTTCAAAAAAAGTAAAAGAAATTAAGCGATAAAAAACCACAATAACGATAAAGTATGATTAGAACTAATTTGTTTATGATTTAAAATAAATAATTATAAGGTGAATTCAACACCACCTTAAATTGAGTAGTTTCCAAAACCATTATCGTGCTAATACTATTATTTGTTAAAATCCCCTTAATAAAAAAGTTACTAGCATAAACCCTACACGGCACACGCTATTTTTATGAGTAGGCAATCTTTGTATGGATAATCATTGATAATTTCTTCCATTATATAAAAACTCAAATATATCTACCTTGTCGTTTCTTTTAGACACAAAAAAAAAAAAAAAAAAAAAAAAAAAAAAAAAAAAAAAAAAAACCAACACTTTCATTTTTCCCGCCAATAAAGTTGTTACTAACAGACATAACCACTTTCTTAGTGCTCCCATTTCAAGAATAACAATAATCTCAATTTTTTCAACCCCAAAAAAACCCAGAAAATCCAGAAAAGCTTCAACTCAATTTCAATGGCGAGAGCAAGAATCTTGAATTCGAATCCAAACCCATCTCCATTTTTACACCTACTTTCTCTCACACCATTTTCATCTCTTCTTTCATCTCCCAAAAAATCCCAGAAATCCAAGAAAATCCTCTTACCTTCAACCTCTTTCTCTCTTCTCTTCATATCAATCTTCTCTTTATTCGCTTTCTCTCTCATCGTAATCCTCAGTTCCACCATTAACCTCTCTCAAACCTCCAACCTCTGTTCTGTTTGCTCCCCTGTAAACCCCCTATCTTCGTCTTCGGTTTCGTCTCGTGTGCTTCTTGCTTCTCTATTTACCGACTACAATGAAGACAGTAAAAAGCCGAGACTGTCTGTAAGTGAAATGGTCCCTCTTCCTGCACATGGGGTTTTGTCGAGTGTCGAAGAGAATCAGTTTTGGAAGCAGCCTGATGGTGAAGGGTTTAAGCCTTGCTTGGATTTCGGCCTCGGGTATCGGAGAGAATCGCCGGTAATTGCTAGTGAGAAGAGGAAGTTTCTGGTGGTGGTTGCTTCTGGTGGTTTGAATCAACAGAGGAATCAGATTGTTGATGCTGTTGTTATTGCTCGGATTCTTAAAGCTGCTCTTGTTGTCCCTTTTTTGAAGGTCAATTTGATTTGGGGCGATGAAAGGTACCGTTATTTTCGATTCAATTACTTCAATTTTTTGGATAATTTAAGAACTGTTAATTAAATTTGGAGTTTATGCTTTAAAATTATGAAATGGGTTTGTGAAATTTCTGAATTCGATTCATAAATTGTCCCAAAATTTTGATTAGTTTGGGTTTTTCAATCAAATGTAGTTACCCTTTAGTTTGGTAAAATTATTGACTATTGTTTATTTGTTTACATGTAATTTTTGCATGGAAAACTGTATAATATGAGTCCAAATTGTCATTTAATCTATTAATTTTTACTTTCTTGGATATATCTTTCTTCATTGCAGTGAATTTTCAGACATTTTTGATGTAGAACACTTCAAGAATACATTACAAGCAGATGTGCGCGTTGTATCTACACTTCCTTACAGACACTTGGTCACAAGGCAGTCGGTTGAGACCCAAATACCCTTTGATGTATCCCCACTTTGGATCCGTACTCGCTTTTCAAAACAGGTTTATCTGAAAAAACATGAAAGCTTTTAAGATTTCTAATCATTTTCGGGCTTAGGAAACAGAAAATGACCATATATACTTGGATGTGTCTTTGCCTTTCAGCTAAATGACGAGGGCATACTAGTTCTAAAAGGGTTGGATTCTAAGCTCTCCAAGAATCTGCCCTCGGATCTACAAAAGTTGCGGTGCAAGGTTGCGTTCCATGCCTTGCGCTTTGCAGCTCCAATTAGGGAGCTAGGCAATAGATTAGCCAGACGAATGTGGATTGAAGGCCCTTACATTGCCATCCATCTGAGGCTAGAGAAGGATGTTTGGATTAGAACTGGTTGCCAAACTGGACTTGGCGCTGATTATGATGCACAGATCAGTGAAGAGAGGAGCATGAAGCCTGAGTACCTTACTGGAAGACTGAACATGAGCTATCCTCAACGTCGCCTTGCTGGCCTGTGCCCCCTAAGGGCCTATGAAGTAGCCAGGTATATAAGCATCCTGCATAGTATATTTGTGTTTATGTTGAAATTATAGATTGTAGAATTTGTGGTACTCCTGATAAGCTAGACTTAATGATACATCATATATGAACTGATTGTTTTCCTATTTGGCGCGTGCTGAGGCAGGCTTCTTAAGGGGCTAGGGGCGCCGAAAGATGCAAGAGTGTATGTAGCCGGAGGTAAGCCATATGGTGGTTCAGAGGCTCTAAAACCACTTGTTCAAGAGTTTCCAAATGTGGTAACCAAAGAGAGTTTAGCTAGGGAGGGGGAGCTGTTACCATTTGCCAACAGATCATCAGCTTTAGCAGCAATAGACTACATTGTATCCCTTAGCAGCGATGTCTTCTTGCCATCCCATGGGGGTAACATGGGCCGAGCAATGCAGGTAAAAATCAGTAACTGTTAAACCTACTTCCCTGTTGTAACATAATGAGACAGACGCGTATGAGACTGACTTTCAGCTATTGTAACATGTATGAAGGGTCACAGGGCCTACTCAGGCCACCGCAAATACATAAAGCCTAACAAAAGAATGATGCTTCCATTCTTTGAGACCTATGAGTCGATGTCAGATGCTGAATTTGGGGCTATCATAAGGAAATTGCATGAGAAGTCTCAAGGGCAGCCAGAGTCTAGGACCGGAAAAAGGGACAGAGATGTGATCGCTTATCCTGTTCCAGAATGTATGTGTAAACACCATTCTGCTTCATCCTAACCAGGAGAAACAAAGCATGCAGTAGCTCAAAGCTGAACCTAGCATAATAGTGTAATATCCAGTTTTGATATAACTTTGTTTACTTCTATAGTGTAGAAAATGTAAAGGATAATAGCATATAGCATATAGCATGAGCATGATGTAAAGAGCCAGAGATACATGCTTTGGACTGTGGTATAGTTTGCTGATGTTATTTCTATTGGGCTTTCTCATATCAAGCCCAAAAACCTGTACATGTATCAGCCAAAAACTTGTACATATACAAGTATGTTTTTTTTTTTCAATTGAAGAAATTTGTTTAGTTTCTACTTTCTGCTAACAAATGTAAGGACTTAAGGACATAAACCACTTTTGACAGCATTAAATTGTTTGGTTATCAATTCCAGTAGACAACTGCACTACTCAAATACCCTTTTTTTTTCTTTTCTTTTCTTTTCACTTTTAAAGTGCCCCAATTTGACAGATATACATGTCAATGCGTAACTTCGAATTATTATATTTATGATTACAAAGAACCATAAATTACAAAAATATATTATTATACATTGGGGATGATTATGTGGTAGTTTTCTTTAAAATGACTACCATTATACTAATTTTTTATTGGCTGATTTTAAATTACTTTTTAATGTCAAAATTAACTATAAATCATTTATCTAATTTGTTTAAATAGATTTATTAATTATGAAATTTCTTTTTTATCATTTTCCTAATTAATTTATAATATTAAGTTTTTATTATTATTGAAATTAAAAAATTATTCATAAATTAATTATGAAAAAATAAAAATTAAAAATAAAAAAATTCATTTATAATAAATTTTGACATAAAAATTAAATAAAAATTAACCAATAAAAAAAACTAGTATAATGTAGTCATTTTAAGATGACTACCATAAAAAGATTTTATACGTTGAGGTGATTTTAACAAGTACCTTCAATATTATTTATATTAATCAAAGTGGTGTTGGTAAATTTGGCAAAGGTTATTGGGACAATTTAACCAGAAAACCTTCTATTGTAATGCTGTTAATTATGATAACCAAAAGTTTTGCATATTCAATTTGATGTTTCTTACTAAAAAAATGCTAATGCTCCTTTAGTTAAACTAATCACAAATTTTTATATGTGGCTGGCCACACCGTATGGTCGGGGTTACTTATAGGGATTACTTATTCTGGGGTTACTTATAAGTTACCCCTGCATAAATAATCATATAAGTAAACCCCTAACCGACTGAGTAACCCCTAAATAAGTAACTCCTATAACTAACCCCTGACCAACTGAGTAACCCATGAATAAGTAACCCCTATAGGTCACCCCTGACCGACTGAGTAATCCCTGAATAAGTAACTCCTGACTGATTGAGTAACCCTTGAATAAATAACTCCTACAAGTAACCCCGACTACACGGTGTGGCCATCCACACAGAAAAAACACCGACTAATCTTAGATAATTGTCTAATTGCAATTTCTTCCACCTTTTCCATTTCTTATTAATCTATAAGGTTTCTATAAGATCAGATAAAATAAGTCACAAAAACTCATCTCCTCCCTAGCTACTATTTAAAGGAATAAGCCGACCAAGACCCATTTTAGATACAAACACATATCAAAGCCAGTTTTAACGATAAACTATAAATAAAAGTAGGAAAAAATAGCAAATAATAATACAACCTTTGGTCATTCTTTTTAAATAATACAACCTTTGGATTATACATGAATATTACAACCATTGGAGGTCTCAATTTTAAATCAGACAAAAAACTTGTAACCGGTTAAACTTGTAATCGTCTTCATGCAATTAGTTTAAATATTAAAGTTTTTTAAGAAAATAAATAATTATAGATTTTTAATATTTGATAATATTGTTTAACATTTAATTAACTTCAATTAAGTCATTAATAGTGATTATTTTTTAACAAATTAAAAAAAATTAAAAAAGCTCAGCCACCACTTTTCCCACCACGCAGCCACCTTCTTTCTCCCCCACCCCCACACCAGCCCTCCCCAGCACCGATCGGTCGGCGCCCAGCTTTCCCACCGTCGGCCGACCCTCCCTCTCCCTTTTCCCCTTCCCCCGTCGCGCCACCCCAGCCAGCGAACCAAACCTTAACCAAAAATTGTGTTTGATTTTTTTGGTGATTTTGAAGTTTAATTTAAGATTTTTTTTTTGTTTGATTTAAAATTTTGATTGTTTTAGGAACGATTTTGATTAGAAAGAGGAATTGATTGAATTTTTTCAGGTGGTGATTGGTGGCGGGGCTTTTCGTTGCTGTTATTGGTGATGCGGCGGGGCTTTTCGCTGTTGGTGCAAGGATCGGGAACGCCAACAAGGCTGTTGTTCACTGTTGTTCGTGAAGGAGAGGGTTTGTTGCGGTTCGTTGGCTGCGGTTTGTGGGAGTTTATAGGACTTTGGTTGCGGTATGCTGGTGTTCGTGGTGGAGGTTGGCTGTTGTGGTTGGGAAGGGGTGGAATCGGGGCTGTAGAAGGGTAGGGTGTGTGGGATTTTCATCCTGGTCGGGGTAACAGAGGGTAGGTCGGCCAGCGGCGGGTGAACTGGACACTGGCAGGCCGGTTTCTAGGCTAAGGGAGGGGAGCTGTGTGTAGGGGAAGGGGAGAGAAAATGGTGGCAGGATGGTGGTGGTAGGGTGGTGGTTCTTTTTATATAATTATGATGATGATGATGATAATTCCTTTTAATTAGGGGATTTTCTCCCGCCACGTGGACCAATAAGGTGTTTCCACGTGGACCAATCTGAGTCTGCCACATGTCACCTCGTAAGAGGTCGTAAGTGGACCTATCAGGCCACGACACATAACAGACAGAAAAGCCTGTCAGGAAAAGCAGCCTGCAGCGGCCCAACTTCCCAGGCAAGCCCAATCAGACCTAGGTTTCTTAGAAACCTAGTATTGGGTACAGTTTTCGAGACTATAAATAAGGTGCTTCCTTCGAAGGAAAAAGGGATTCACAAATTTCCAAACACATTTACTCTCAAAGCAGAGAACAAGTCAGTCACCTGACATCCGAAACTGAGCAATTATACATTGCAGATCCTCTCTTGAAGCCCAAGGGAGACTCTTTACTTTCCGCATTTAACTCCTCAAACACGTTCTAACTTGACCGTTGGAGGCGGAGCTCCCATTAATAGGAGTCTCCGTTATTTTGCAGGTACAGGCATCCAAAGGTTAGTCTTGGATTTGTAATTCTCTCGCAGGACATCAAATAACCCCGAAACATTTGGCGCCGTCTGTGGGGAAAGTACATTTAAGATGGCTTCACAAGAACCTGTACCGAGTCTAAGTGAGAAGCGGCCCTTGGCCGACGTCCTGGTCACCTCAGACCAGGACACAGATGATGATTTTTAAGTTGTCACTCACACGGCACCTAACGGGACCCTAAGGACCCGGCGCGTCCGCCCCACTGAAAGGAGGGAGCGGACCGTCGGCCAGGTCGGGCCTAGTGAAACAGCCGGTCCGCTGACTGTTCCCCAGGAGGCTGAGGGATCCACCCCTATTACCAGGAATGAGCTCATGAGTCTCATGACAAGTTTCAAAGGGGAGATTAAGGATCTCATTGCTGAACGGACGGCTTTTCCTGCCAAGGAGCAGTCGGCCAAAAAGTCCTCCCATTCTGGGAGAAGCAAGTCGGTCAAGGACCGAGAGCCCACTCCTTACCCTAAGCCAAGGGTAGGGCCTAAGCCCTCGACAATCTTGGGCGGACTTCAAATTCCTGCGCCAGGAAACAGAAAAGCTATCCGACATATTCAGCCGGATGGTTCCAAGAAAACATATTCCGATGCTCAGATGATAATCTAGCAAAAGAGGAATATGCAACTATCAGAGTCGGCCTCCACGGAAAACTTTAATGATAGTTTTCAGAATACCTCAACGAGGTATTCCAATCTACCCCAGGGGGGTCAGACAAGCGGCACGTCCGCCCAGTCCACTCCTCAAATGTACCAGACGGCCCCGTATGTGCCTCGGTAGCCATACGGGCCGGATGGAGAATTTTACGTGCACCTACCCTTTTAAGGGGACAGGCGGCACCTACAGTCCAACCACTAGACTGGAAGCTTAGGGAACAGCCTACGGCTTTCTCCAAAGAAATAACAGAGGCCGCACAGCCGGACAAGGTAAAAAATGTATTGGTTGGCACTTACGACGGTACCACCAATCCTGAGGACCACCTAATGGCTTACACCAACCTTATGTATTTACAAGGGTTGGACGACGCCACTTGGTGCATATGCTTCCCGGCCACATTCAAGGGCGTCGCCCAGCAGTGGTTCGGCAACTTGCCAGCCGGATGCATCAATAATTTTAGGACGCTTGCTTACCAGTTTGCGTCCAACTTCTCGATGAACATCCCAGCTAAGAAAACAAGCCTTGATCTGGGCACCATACAGCAGGGAGAGAAGGAAGGGTTGCGCTCGTATATCAGGCGCTTCAATCTGATGAGAATTCAGATTCAAGGGCTGTCTGATGGGGTAGCCTACACAGACTTTTTTAAGGGTCTGAAGGACGGGTCGGCCTTCAAGTTCGGCCTCGTCAGGAAGAGGGTTGCTACCCTTCAAGAGACATTAATGGAGGTGGACGCCTATATATAGGGGTGTACAAAAATTGGCCCGGACCTGAAACCGGACCTGAACCGACCTGAACCGGACCGGACCTGACCCGGACCTGTTGATTCAGGTCCGGTCCCGGTTCTTAAAAATCCAGGTTCTCGGTCCCGGTCCGGACCCGGTCCAAACCCGGGGTTTTCAGGTACGGACCTGAAACCCGGGAAAATCGTAATTAAAAAAAAAAAAAAAAAAAGAAGAAGAAAACCAAACTCTGAAAAATTGAAACTGAGTTTTCGTGGACTTATTTGTATTTTCGGTGGACTTATTTGTATTTTTGGTGTTTGAGAATCGGGACTTTATAGACTTTATGTAGTTTTGTAATTGATAATTTTGGTTTGTATGTAATTATTAAATTATGCAACAGGTCTAAAAATCACAAAACAGGTCCATATGCAGGTCCATATGCAGGTCCAACAGGTTTTGTATTAAAAAAAAAACGAAAAAGACACAAAACAGGTCCATTCAGGTCCAAACCCGGACCGGACCTGATTTTTCAAGTCTGGCCCGGAACCGGACCTGTTAATTCAGGTCCGGTCCCCGGTCCTCATAATTACCCAATTCAGGTCCCCGGTCCAAACAGGTCTGGTCAGGTTTTGGACCGGTGTACACCCCTACCTATATATAGGCGACCGAGCTCTGTAATGTCAGAAAGCAGT